GGATGCAAGAGTTAACTTCTTGATGTAGAAGGTAAGACGGAATATTTTTCCTTAGAAATATCAAGATATGAGACGACCGGGAAAGATCAGCAGATAGAATGACGCCAAGATATTTAATTTCCAACTTGGTTTCAATTTCAATGCCATCTATGTTGCACACCTCGTGAGAGTCAACCAGTTTGTTTAGGATGGATTTATGACTAAAGGTGAAATTGACTGTTCGGCATTTGGAGGGGTTTAAGGTAAGACCGTTTTCCTTGGACCACTGGCTGATTTCTGACAGAAAGTCATCAAGTTTAGAGCAGTCGCTTTGACATTTGACAGGCAAAGATACTGTCAGGTCGTCAGCATATTTGACAAAATCAATGTCATTTGAAGATGGTAAGTCATGTAGAAAGAAAGAAAAGAGAAGTGGGGAGAGTACAGCACCTTGGGGGACACCAGCTTCAGTGAGCGCAGCAGAGGAGGATTTACCTTTGTATACGGTGTACTGCATTCTGTTAGAGAAGTAGGAATGCAACCAGTTAGTGACCCAGGACTCAGTTTTTGTCAAAGAGAGCTTATTTATCAAGAGACATCTAGGTACAGAGTCGAAAGCAGAACTGAAGTCGAGAAACGTGCAGCAGACGTATTTGGCACTTTTATCTAATGATGAGACGATACTGTTGTGTAAGACGGCTGCAGCGTCTAAAGTGCTCCTACCCTGTCTATAGGCAAATTGTTTGGGGTCTTCAAAGCTTTTAAGGGAGGATTCAAGTTTAAGAAGTACTAGTTTTTCCATAAGCTTTATATACGGTAAAGTAATGTCAATCGGTCTGAATTTAGCATTCTCACTATTTCCAGGTTTAGGGACAGGGACTATTTTAATGTCTTTCCATGCAACAGGTACAACGTTTTTGGAAAAAGAAACGTTTAGGATGTTAGTAAGTGGAGAACACAGAGCATCTGCACACTGTTTCAGAACACCATCAGCACCAAGGCTACGTGAGGGCTTAAGCGTTTTAAGGCATTTTAGAACATCAAGAGTATTAAATTCAAGAAAGTTATCAACTGAGTGATTTGTAACACTAGAAGTAATTATAGTAGAAGGAGAGCGTATAAAAGACTGATTAAGTGCGTTAACATCATTATAGAGAGAAAACATTGCATCGCGTATCATTGCCAGTAATTTCGTTGAAAAGTTTCCACATGATGGTTGGAGATTTGAATGATAGAAGTGTATGATTATACATTGAGATTTTTTATTTCAGATTTGATCAGAGCACTAATCTTTTAAAGTCCTAACTTATATTTGGATTTATATGTTTCTTTTTGCTTGCGAAGTTCTTTGAGACGAGGAGACGAAAAGCGGTCAAAGCTTTCGAATAGTGTTTGTTTAGGACTGCATATGTCGAGGCAGAACTTAAGATAGCCCGTTATATTGGCGAATGTCATCTAATTTACTTTCATTAAATAAATCCCAGTATTTTTTTAAATGCACCTGAGACTAAGTCATAAGATGTGTAGCATCTTTTTTGTGATTTCATAGATAGATGTGAGAAGACTTTAATATGAGTTTTGCTGTATATTTTTGGTAAAACGCGAACAATACAGTGATCAGAGTTAAGTATCAGTGCACGTTTACGTGTTTCGTACATTCCTTCGTCGTTTGTCTGTCTGTCTGTTTTCGACATAGCACTTTGCACCAATGTGCGGCCGTTCAAGTCGCCACACTTCACTCAGCACACAAAGCAAGAGAAGAAAGTAGAAGAAATGCACAATACAGACAGTGAACAGAGGTATGAGGCAAAAAGAATAGTAATATCGAAGAACAATAGAGTTTCATTGGATATGATAAATCACAAGGAGTGGATGCATCTGCGCCAGCCACTGAGAACAATTTTGAGCCATATCACCGATTGTCTCCAGTCACTGGTTTCTACCGTCCCGAGTAACCCCAACCAGCCAGGAAGCCAGTCTACACCATCCTACGTTACTAGCTTAAACTAACTGTTGTGGATTTCGTTGACTGATGAAGCTATGTTTTGGTTTGACCGCCACTAACTCTTTCCCAGCCTGACCCTATGTCAGCTAACATTCCCTGTCGAGGAAGGCGATGACTAGACATACGTAACACATGTCCCAACCATCTCAATTGGTGTAACTCCACAGTCTCGTCGATTGATTTCCTCTCCTTACCTAGCACTTGACGCCTAACCTCGATATCATCACAACTCCCACATATCAATTAGTAAACAAATGAAAATCAAGAAGCACAGTAGACATCCATCTATTCTCCAGCAGGGCATAAAACCAACATCCTAGGAGACGGTTGACAACTAGATGCCATCTCTCGTGTATCTAGGCATTGGAATACGACAGTCTTTGTCTCATAGTCTATCATTCAACTTTACTAACTTCCTAATTATTGATAGGCGACAATGAGTCTTTGAGGCTTTCAAACTCCAAGTTGTATTATACTTCAACTACACGACACGATGTCAAGTTAATAATACCTTCTGTTGTCATACGCTACACAGATGAATGTTGTCATTTCTATGCACCGCCTAGGCATTGATCACTTCATCGTTGTAAGCAATAAACACAAGATAAATATAAGCCAAAAACAAATGCATGCATTACGTTAAACAAATTCTAAGACCTACAGGCATGAGAACATAGTGAAATATAGCGTCAAAGATGTATTTGAATTCGTAGACAAAATCAAAGATATTAATATCAAGTACAAAACCATGATATCTCTGGACATAACATTTTTATTCCCAAATGTACCTCTAGTAGAAACAGTTAAAAACTTATGCGAACAAGTGGATAACCAGTCGATAAACATTGGCATCCGTACTGAAATCCTAAAAGAATTGTTATTAAGGTGTACCATAAATGTAAATTTCAAATTTGACGGTACACTTCACAGACAAGTGAACGGGGCGGCGATGGGCTCCAATTTGGGTCACATTCAGGCTGATTTCTTTCCAAATAAACTAAAAAATGGACCCATGTTGTTGCCGGTATATGGATGACACCTTCATTCTTTGTGATAATGATTCAGATAGGAGTACAATAATAACTCAATTCAATGAAGTACATTCGGCTATAAAATTCACGTGCGAGGAGGAATTCCAAAACAGAATTGCCTTCCTGGATGTCCCCCTTACGAGGAAACCAGATGGTAGCATAAAAAGAAATTTGCAAAGAAAAAGTAGTTGGACAGGACAATATACACATTTTCACATCTTCGTTCCTATCAAGTACAAAGAAAATTTAGTAAAGACCCTCAGCCACAGAGTCAGAGCTATATGGCCAGAAGAAGTAATTGAAGATGAATTAAGCATCACATATGATACTTTGATCGAAAATAGCAATCCAGGATAGTTCATCAAGAAACACATGACAAAGAAAGCGGAAAAGGATTACTCACTATCCGTAAACAAGGAGCCTCTTTATGTACGACCGCAATTCAACGGCGACATACTAAGTGAAATATTTACAAAGAAATCTAGAAAATCAGTTCGAAGAACTTTTAATGCTGGTGAACTACACGCCTTATTCTCTACAGCACCGATGGTGATTCCTCGACTGAAAGAAGTACCTAGACTAGCCACTTCAAATTGTATCTACCAATTCAACTGCGCTTGTGAATGAGTTATACCGGCCGTTTTTCTAGTAACTTGACTTTTCATGCTCTAGAACATCCCCCACTATGGCTAAGTAAAAGGATATTGAAAACCATTAACAGTTCCATATTAGGTCATCTGGTCCAAACAGGCCACAAAGCCAGCGTTGAAGAATCCTTCTCTATCGTCATTTACCGACTACCAAAAACATTGAAGCACTCCATGCTCCAAACAGCAGAGCCTACTGCAATTCGCCTTAAACAACCAGTGCTCTGTGTGCAAAAGAAGTAAGTCCAGCCCTGGCCTTCAGTAGAGACTATAAATTCATGAATCTGTAATATTACCTTTCCTAATCTTTCTGACATTCAGCCTATTTTTATGTTGATGCTATCGAACTGTAATCCATTGATATTACTATTATTGATTCGTTGTTATTTAAACGATATTTATGTTGTTAATAACACCAATTCATTCATTCACTATTATGTATATATAACTGTAGAGCCTGATGATGAAGTTATCGAAAAGAGTATTCTTTGTCCAGTATCCATTCTTTTGAAGAACCAAAAGGTTGGCAGAGGAGACGGGATGCAGTAAAGACAGGACTTAAAGTAAACATAAAAAGGATAAAGGTGATGAAGATACCTAACCAACCAATAATAACAAGCACTAATCACTATCGAAAGTAGAAATTTGAAAGAAGTCAACTTCTCCTTTCACTTATCTAGGGCAGTATCGTTTCAACTACAAGTGAAAGTACGGATGAGGATGTCAAAACCAGTCATGATAGGAAAGGCGAGTGAGACATTCATCACTCTGAAATCAGTTGGGAAATCCTCCGCACTCAGCTAGGATAAAAAACAAGATTCAGATTTGCAATGTCAATGTCAAAGTCAGTCAGTTCTTCTCTTTTATGAATTAGAGACTTGGCGCGTCACCAAACAGGCTTCAGCCACTCACCTCGCTGCACACTAAAAGGTTAAATGGCTGGTCAGAAAAGATAAGTAACAAGGAACTCTGACAGCCAACGAATCAACCAAGAACCTATTGTTCAACAAATATTCCGAAAATGGAGATGGATAAGTCAGACGATGGAGAGACTGGCGCCAGCTAGGCCATCACTCAAGTGGAACCCGAATGGAAATAGACGGGTAGGATGACTGAGAGTGTGATATGGAGGAGATCGTGTGAAGAGGAAATGACAGCTTATAGTCAATTGCAGAGTCAGCTAAGTAGGACAGTAGAGAACACCACGAAGTGGAGATGTGCGGTAGAACCTTGGGGAATAATAATAATAATACGTTGAAAAAATTAATCAGGTTAGGGAGTACATAATGAATATAAATTTTAAAATCAAAATTACACAAATATGCATCTTTTTCATACTTGGATGATCATTTTCAGAACCTTTCAATCTATCATATTCCTCCCATGATTTTCTTAAATATAACGGGAATGGCCCTTGGACTAGGTGAACTCTGAAAGGATAAATAGTAAAAGAACGCTTGTTTATTTGACTGAAAAAAAAAACAGTTAACATGTTAGATTGTTAATACACGTAATTGATTTTTAAAGAAAAAGATTCCATCGTAGTGTAGCAGTTATCACGGTTGACTTCCAAGCGCAGTCGATGCACGTTCAACTCCCAGCGGTCGCAAGTACATTTTATCGTCCTTTTCGAGGTTGTACTTGTATACACTTTTGAAGAAAAACCTAGAACAAAAATGAAACACCCTGATCACAGTCAGTCACTGATTTAAAATATACCTCGATATATTGGCCGATTAATGCTCACAGGTTGAGTAGAATAACAATCATCTGATGCGAGCGAAGAATAGTTAGCTTAAGCCAACCAGTCAGGTAGGGAGGTGTAGACTACCTGGTTGGGATCCTTGGAATTCTAAGAACCAATGATAATTGGAGAAAATTCGGTGGTGTGACTCGAAATCGTTGTCAACGGGTGGCGCAGATGCATTCACTCTTTGTGATTTGTTATATTCAATAAACATCTATTGTCCTCTCATATTACTATACTTTTTCCCTCACACTTCTGTTTATTATCTCTCTTTTAAACCTCCATTTACTCTTTCCTCTTGATTTGTGTGCTATATGGAGTGTAAGTGGGAACTCGAACTGTAGCATTTCTGTGTAAAGTTCGATGTTGAAACTAGTTAGTCTTTTTTTTTAATTTCCTTCACGTTCCCCAGTGGAACATAGGGCTTCAAGCTAGAGACTCGAAGTTTCTGTAGCAGTGGTGTTTACTTTTACGGGATGGGGTTGCTAGCCTCATGCCCAACCTTCCCTCTTTGCCAGTTCTATTACTGGCTTAGCGAGGTAAAGGAGTGCGCCGGCCGGGGATCGAACCCCGGACCATGTGCATGGTCGGCGAGCGTCCTAGCCACTATGCCAGTCAGTGTATATATATGCCTAGTGTTTAGAAAGACACTCACCGATATAAAGTTAAGCTTGAAGAGTAAGATAACTTGAGCTGTTAATATTTAACCTCAATTTAGATTGTCACGATATAACACTGTCTGGAAGTGGAAGAGTGTGGGCGGTTGTTACTTCCCGGCTGCACACACCGTGGAAGTTGTTTGATTCTTCGGGTACCTGAAACAGAGAGAGGGTTGATGTTGTGTGACCGCTGAGTCCAGGGGACAACTGCTTTAGGCCGGTCACACAAGGCCTGTATCAACTGGTTTCTTGGTTTGGTTCCGTATTAGTAAACTTACCGCCGGTTACGGGCCACCGTAGGGTAAGTCAGGATGTACAATTGTTCGGGTCGACGTTTTCCAATCCCGCTCTCCGGAGTGGAGAGACAGCACAGCTGGCATGTTGGTCATCTGAGGGAAACACCTCACTGCTGTTACAACCCTGTTCCCCAGCAGTACGACTTCGCCCTCAGACTCCCAGCTTAGTGTAAGAGAGATTCTCACACAATACCGGTAACTGCTTTCAATCTAATCGCTATCCTAACAACCTTCCTGGCATGGTAGGACCTGCAGGAACATTGGTTCCAGCCAGTGTAGCTTGTTGGGTCATTGCGATGTGCAAGCCCGATCACCACGTCAAGGTAGCAGCTATCGGTCAGGCGATATAACACACTACTCCAAGGTCGTTGAAAACCAGGACACAATGGACAGCTGTTTCGTCTTACATTGGAACTCTTCGACACTGGTCACGCGAAATCCAAGCAGCGATCAAGCACTGACTTTCAACTGACGAGTGAAGCTTGACCTGGATAGGTGTCCTGAAGATGTAATGAGACGTCGCAAACGGTGGAGTCAACTATGTTAAGGCGAAGTGGATGCTTATCGAAAGGAATTACTCGGCGATAATTAACGAGTGTCCTAGTAACCAAAAGGTCCCGGATTCGATCACTGGCAGGGTCACAAGTGATCACCGATGAGGAGTCTTAAAATAGGAAGAAACAACTGTCTAGTATTTCCTGATGAGTTTTAATAGTCTGTGTAACCGGTATTAGTTCATGACGAAATCTATGTTGAAATTAATCCAAATATCCCTACAAAAGAGAACATAATTCGAAAACAGGAGACACTAATTAAATAATCGAAATATTGTGGTGGTATCTTGTGCAATTTGGTGTTACAGAAAGCGTAATTAGAATGCATGAACACTCTTAAAAAGACTTCAACGTAAACAAGTATACAACTTTATCGTGAAGCTTTAAGAAGTGTTGAATAAACGGGATGCACCAACAGTTAGCAATACTAGTAGTTGAAATGATTCAAAATCATTTGGCTTCAAAATTTGTTGACAGGATTTCATCATGAACTGACATAGGTTAGAGAACCATTGGAAAACTAGCTGCGACAACTGAACAGCCAATCACTTCGTCCCAGTTTACGACTGTTCAGAAGTAGGTATACACCCACCAGGTTTACAGCCCACGACCTACCGGTTACAAGGCGAGCTCGTAGACCATTGAGCCACTGGGACTCGATTCAGTTGCCAATTCACAATATTGCGCGACTGGCACTAGTCAATGTCACCCACGGCGAGTATTTGTCCTCACATTCGACCAGCTGGACCCCACTGGTCACTGTGTAGCTCAGAGAATACTATTGATAAGTAGAGAACAAAGCGAGCGAAACTCCTGACATGACGTTAATCTAACTGCTCATACTACCACCTCTAATGGTATGTATCTTCGTACAGCATTTTCTCGTTTTCTGATACACTATTTGGAGCGTCGAACAAACAGGTTGCGAAAGACACCACAAAATATGTACTTTTTCAATATAACCAGTTAGACGAGTCTTAAGAATAGTAGTTACCAATATTATTTAAATAAAGCAAGAACAACAGTGGTTTGTGAAAAATAAGATGATATGCTACCGTTTATTTCGTTGGCTTCTCATCATCTGTGTACAACTCGCAAATTTTATATCATGTCGATGTGACAGAAAGCTCCAAACTAAATAAAGTGCTTAGAAAATAACACATACAGTTTTCACGCAGAGAGTTCAAGTCTAAACAAAAATCAATGTATGCACATAATGACAAAAAGAGTTGCGTGATAAAAAACAGGGGTGAGTAGGATGATGAGTAATTAACAAATTGAGTAACAATGTACTTAGTTCAACTCAAATCATAGAAACAAAAGACAAGCGAAGTCACGCCAAATCTAAGGACAGTGAGGTAAAAGTCAAAGATCACGTAATCAAGTGAAAGAGCGAATAGAGACATCCAGTTACCAGGTGGGTAAGGAAAGACTGGTAACTGCTTTTTGCTGAACACATATGTCGGGGTTTCAGGCGTTTGACAGAGATTGCCTTAGCAAACTCGAGAAGTGAACTATTTTGTTTGTTTATAATTTCAAGGGATTTCATGATGTCCACCTTCTGACAAGCATCACAAGGAGACGTCTGGTAAAGACACCGCTGTAAGTGTTTTCCCTTTGAGACGTAGGCTTTTCGGTACATGTTCAGAAAATCAGGTGTGCCCTTCTTTCTGTTTTTCCAATGTAACTGCTTCTGCAGCTTTTTTATTCCTTCACATTCCCAGTGGAACATAGGGCTTCTAAAAGGCTGTAGCAGTGTTTATTTTTTACAGGATGGAGTTGCTAGCCCCATGCCTAACCTTTCTTCCTTACCAGCTATATTACCGGCTTAGCGAGGTAAAGGAGTGTGTCGGCCTGTGATTGAACCCCGCACCTCGTGAGGCGTGGTCGGCGGGCGTCCTAACCACTGTGCCACCGACACGGCTCCCGCAGATACGTTTAAGTTTTTAATATACAGTTAAGTATGAATATGAGAAGCCAACAAAATAAATGATGAAACTATCTTATTCAGCATAGACTGTTATTCTTGCTTTAGTCAAAATTCATAAATTTTATTTTATTTTTTTTAATTAATTTTTAATTTCAATTTAATTTTTTAAAATTTTTTCTAGCTAGATTCCACACAGTACTTTTGGTACAAGTATGAAATTTTCAGCATGCGATATCGGTAGCCCAAATTTAGCAGGCCGACCACAGATATCAGGTATGCGTCGGCAGGGGATCGAACCTCGGACCATGTGCATAGTCGGCGAGAGTCCTAACCGCTGTGCCACCGACGCACAAAGGCAATAAATGTATGAACTAATAATAATGACACTCTACACCATTTAACCTGGAACAAATTTAATCACACAGTGAGTAATAAAATCAAAAGGCGAACTCTCACCTTATCAACTCTACAAAACCAGAAGTACAATTTGTAAAGCCCATACCAAGAGCTGTTAGTTCTCTAAATGTTAGATATAATAACAAACACATCAAATATGTTGAGATACTTAGTAATGTAAAATAGTTGATGCGAATAATAATAATAATATTAATACTGATAATAATAATAATGATAATAATGACAATGATGATAATGATAATAACAATACTAATAATGTTAACGAAAATTAAACAGTGAACGTTGAACGAACGGATCTCCATTTTAGCGGCAGGTAACAAAATGCCAATAGTGGTCTAATCGTACAGTGTTTCACAGAAAACTGGAGAAAAAAAATACCAGAATTTATTATTGTGATTTATGCTGATGCTTTAATCATAGATTTTGTGTGCCGTAGCAACCACCCTGCAGTCCTGGTTCATTGTCGGTAAAGAAAGAAATAAACAATCCTCAAATAGCCAATATGTTCTTTTTGATATCTTCGAGTCGGTTACTGTATATAGTAGCCTGAAGCAACAATTAGTTTTCTGGCAGCAGTACTAGGTGTTCAGGATCTTTTCCGATCTGAACAAATGACAGTTTCTGATTTGGCTTCTTCAACAGCATATCTCTTCTTATTCAACAGCCTGTTCATCAGATACAAACTTAAATTGATCACTGCATTACACCATTCATATTATTTCACTACAATTTACGACAGACTTGGTACCAGGAGAGAGCCACATAAAATCGCATAGCTTGTGTGAAAGCTGCAATACTAGTTGGATATTCAGACCGAAGCTAAAGAAGGACAACCGCCGAGTCTGTGACTTGAAGTCTGAGCAGCATCAGAAGCTGTGTTCCCGTCGTTCCTGGTGGCTAAAACACGACCATAACCAATTCGATACAATCGGATTCGTGTACACGTATGCACACCATAGGTTAAGAATCAGGGTTTTCCAGTTTCTTTAGATATACTCGGATGTCCACCAGTTCGGTTGTAAGCTCCTGACTTTCGAATTCGCCCATTAACTTATGTGAAGAACACCCCTTTGACGTAAAGGAAGTGAATACGACTTCTCTGACAGAGGCTATAAAGGCGTGGACATATTTTGAGAGAAAGACCGGAGTCTATGTACCCTCGGTCGGCCGTACTAAATTGTTAATACGAGCTTAGGCCCATTCGGCTTAAAAATGGTTTGGACGGAAAAGTACTACAATTAACATTATTATTATTATTATTACACGAATTGAAATTGCTGCAAACTAATAATTTGGTCACCAACCGACATCAGTTGGTAAAACCAGTGATAAGCAAAGAATACTGAAAAGGTGCTTAGTTCTACTTTAGGACCCTTTAGCAGTGGATGGAACCCACAATTGTCGGCTTACAAAATGGGTCGGAAGCCAGTAATCTACCTCCATAGGTCAATTTCAATGAATAACCAGTACAACAATCTGATTAAGGTTCCTTCACATACAACGACCATGAAGATTGGTTCTCGTTAGGCGTGCGGAGGAGAGACATGAAAGCAGAGCTTGCATTCACCAGAAGTTAGAAGCCTAGTAACTTATCCGAGACACTGTAAACCACAGTGGGAGCGGTACATACCTTCTATCTGGTCTGAGACTACTCTACCGTGAATACGTACACGACAACATTTTACTATATGGTAATATAAAGGCTAAATAAATTCCACTTGATGAACCGGTGACCAGTACATCTGTAAGTATTTTAGTGGCAGAATCCTCATGTCAACCACACACGTGACCGGGGTTCGACATCCGACCAACCTACTACTACTGCCTAACCTATAATAAGTCCTGTAAAGCGACGGCAGATTTACCTCTTTACCACCGTGCTTACTAACGGCTAGTAAACAAGGCAAGATTCAAGAGTGCATCAGCAAGGTATTCGAACCCGGAACACGTACACAGTTGACGAGCGTTCTACCATTGAATAACTACCGACACATACATCACCTAAAAAACTGTTGGGTCAACATCTTGACAAAGTAAACATATGAATTTAAACAAGTATTTGAAATGAAATAGATACGCCAATTCCATATGTCAACACCTTAAGTTACCGCAGAATTTGTTACAATTGTCAGGAACCAGTCAAGAACTTATTGGCGTAGTTGTGTTCTTTGAACTGGATGGTTTAATTTGCGAAGCTTTCATTGCCTTTCTAGACAACATTAAACACACTTCAATTTAAGGTGAGCTTTTTGATTTGATTCTCCACAAGTTTAAATTATTTATCCCTCCCGGGAACACCTTGAAAGTGATGGTTGGTGGAAATTTCATCAAATAATTAGTCAACATTGTATTGGTACCGATTATTATTTTGTTGACCTGAAAAAGTTGACCTTTTGTCCACATGAATTTCCTTTTGTTGATGAATGAAACCTTTGTATCTATGTCATTGTGGTCTATAGATCACAGACTTGTTAGATGACATCCATCACGCTCCCGGCCCTCGAACGTAACCCAAACGGGAAGTGTCGAGTTGAGCCTCCAAGGTTGACGCGCAGAAGATAATCTGAGTACGAAATGCAAGCTTGTGGTGAATAGTCTTGAAGCCACGTGAGTGTTCAGAGTGTAATGTAGATTCTCCACGCTGGCGGCCTTACTCTCCACTGGGAAGGCAACCAACGAAAAATAATAATAATAATTATAATAATAATATAGACGCTAACTTGTACAAAATCAACTCACTATGAAAGCTCTTCACACCGAAATGTAGATAAATAATTTAAATTGTAAAAAAAACGTACTTAGATACAACAACTTCAGAAAGTACTTCATCGAAAGTCTTCTGGGTTTCACCATTAAATTTAACATTTCCCTCTATTGGGATAAACTTAATGACGACATGCTCAGATCGGCGATTCCCAGTCGAACATTGGAATACTTCACCAAAGCATCCTTCACCGATTTTTTTCAAACTTCTTCGTCGACTATCAAATTTCCAACAACAACAAAATATATTTGTTTATCACATTGAACAGGATTCAGAGGAAAAATAAAAATTACACAGATTTTTGTGTAGGAAATAAATTTTAGAATATGATAAAATTAAGTAAATTTTGAAATGAAATTTGTAGGGAATTCGAAAAACGGATGATCAATAATTCAGATTGTCGCAGATGAAGAGGCATTCACTCCTTTTACCTTTCCCATGTATCTTCACAACGCCGTATTATTGATTTGCTTTCTTTGACATCCAATCTATCTCCCTGCTAATTGATGTTTTATGCCAATGACCAACTCTATACATTTATACACTACTGATAAATCGTATCAGTAGCACTGCGAACAACAGGATACAAACGTTAAATTGACTTACACGAAATAAGGCGGAACAACTGTGGCGTGTGCTATTGACAAGATGCAGACTGATAGGAAGTAGCCGAAATTGAAAACAATAGAAGCATTTATTTCTCAAATCTGTACCCAGCTTACGTCGTAGTCAGGAAATCATCTCAATGTTTGACCTTCAGAAAATCAGCAACCAATCAAAACAGTTTATTGCCCGTTGGCCTAGCCGATCGTAAATGTGGCTAAAAATATGAAAATATGATGTATTTCTCCTCAATAGGAAAGTTCGTTACCAAGTCTCTTGTCATTTCCCGTTCACAATCTATCACCAGACAAGAAACTATAGCCCAAATAATATGTTGTAAGAAACGAAAATCGATTGAAGCAACGAATTGAGCACGTGGGGGTGACATAGGGGATATTATATGAATAGTGGTGTAAGGAAGGAAAGACCGATGAGGCTCAAAGGATAAACTCATTGCAGGTACATCAATTTAATATACTATACATCCAATGCTTTATTTGTACATTATTTGCAAATCGGTCGAATATCACCCACCACATTCGACAGCTTGTTGGATTATGTACAGTGTTTGCAACGTTCTTCACACACTTCTTTTTTTTCCAGTGCCCCAAAACGCATTGTTACTTTTCTGAACTCATTTACTGATATACTACTTATATCCGATTATAAGTAGCACACACCACAGTAGTGATCATAGAACCCGTTAAAAAAAGAAATGACGGTAGGGAAATGAAAGGGCGATGAAGAGGTGCCTTCTTTGCCTCTCAGAGAACCCAAACAACTAATACCAACAACAATCACTACTACTTCAAACAAATCTTATTATTTCTCAGAAATAAGTGTAACTTACGCAGGTGCAAAAAGCTGACTAAATGTTTTGTAATCAGTTTGTTCACAAATCTTTAACAACGCTCCTTTAGCATCGCCGGCTTCAAGTAATTCCTATACAAACAATTAAGATACATTGAAAATAGTTTCAATGAGATTGAATGACAACCTCTCATTATTGACTGACCAAACAATTATTTCCCATTGATAAACTTGAACAAAAAAACAACAACAATAACCTGATATTTCAGGAGAGATCTAGAAATGTTATCAGTTGGTGGAACCAATGCTCAAGTGAAAAATAAGCTCGCTCAGCAACCCATACGACCTGGGTTCACACAGTCATCGGTGGAGTCACGGAAGGGTACTGATGAAGAGTCGCAAACCAGGACGCAACAGATATCCAGTATACTCCCTGCTTGTTTTTTTAATGCCTCTCTAACCGATATCACTTCATAACTTAACTTGAAAAAGCCGATCAAATCCCTGTAAATCAACACTTGAAAAACATTGGATATCACACTTTATTTGGTCGGATCTTCTGAACAACTGCATACAACCCTGAACACTTATAGTAGTGTCTAGGCACGAAATATTTACATACTTTAGTTATTTATATCACGGAGATTGAGGCCACCAGTGTTATGTAATTCAATATATGAAGGATAAGTTAAAAACCAAGCCTAACAAGTGTTAGTAAGCGTGCATTGTATAATATCAAGTTGCATGCAGTTGAAGATACCAAAAAAAATAAAATGATATCTTTGTGTCATTATTATTTCCTTGGGATCCCAGGGGAACATACAGCTTCAACAGCACATCTCCATTTTGTCCTGTTATCTTCAATTGACTCCACCATTGCCCACACGCTTCCATCCCTTCCTCTCACACCATCTCCTTCATATCACGATCAGACCTTGATCGAACTCATCGTTCCCCATTTGGATTTCAGTCGAGGGTTTGTCTGGCTCGCGATGTCATCCGACAGCCTCACCAGGATATGTTCGACACATCTCTATTTTCCCCGGCGTATACTTGTTGAGCAATAGATTGATGGTTGGTTCGTTCCCAGAAAGTTTTTGTTGCTTAGATTTTCTGGTCAGTCACCTGATCTTCAGTATGGAGCCAGAGAAAGCACTTGTTGGTAAAAGTCTTATTATCATACTTAATTAGTTGCTTATTCTTTGTTCAAGTGTTCATCATACTTTAAATCAGAACAATCGATTAGAATCTGAGTGTTCTGTAAATAGGTGCTCACTCTCTCTCTCTAACTGATGTCACTCCATGGTTAAACTGAAAACAATTCAAATTCCTACAACAAACTAACACTTGAAAAATAATCGTAACAACTGAACAAATAACTTACCGTGTATGAACGATTTAATATCATGTTTTCATGACGAAACTGTCGAGATAATCGTTTTGTGTACGCACTCGACTTTTTCCCAGATCCTGGGCATTGAAATTGATATTGTTGACAGTCTCGTCTGTGTTCATCTGAAGGATTATACGGTGACAGACGAGAGGGATTGGAAGAATAGATTGAAGTGAGTTGACCAACCTTTATTCACAAATAAACAAATAAGTAAGTGAGTAAAATACAAAACTAAAACTGTGGCACTGGTCTACTGACAAGATTTGTAAGTAGTATATAGACACAAAAATATGTATATCATCTGCGAGAATTTCGAATAGCAGAGAGAAAGATTTAATGCTGAAGTGAAATGAACGATGCCTGTGAAGCATGGAAGGAAGACATAGGAGCACCCATACACAAGGTTAAAGTCACACAATACGAAGATAGGTGTAAATTGTGATTATACATAATATAGTAGTAGACGTATTTTGCTTGTATCTGTACATCGAGTTGCTATTAAAGGCAATTAAAGTAAAGAATAGATACCACAGTCATATGAACTTGAAATAACCCATCAGTTTAGCATTTACAGGATATATAAACATAATAAAAATGAATCATACAGTGTATATGACCTCCCCCTCCACGCAATATATTGTGAAAACAGGTCCCATTTTCTCATTGGAATGGTTGCTGACATATGCCAGTTTTGGTATATAACCCAAACTCTCGCATAGCCTGCAAGTGCGACTTTTATATACAGCGAAGGCAGCCGGAATTCATTTGCACAAGCAAAATTTGTGTTCAAAAGAAATTTGTACAGCCACTTTCTGAGCACTGTTCACTAATTGCGGCACCTTCTGTCAACTTACATCATGAGAAATTTGCAAGGACGTTGAAACTGTTCTGTACATAAACCTCAAAGTTTATTTAGGCTGTGAGCAGCTGATGGGAAGCCAACGAAATTAATGATGGTACTATATCATTCTGCAAAAACCACTGTTGTTCTTGCATTATTCAAATACATAATATGTATTAAGTTTTTAGAAATGATTTTCTCCCCTTGTAACTTATGTTTCAACATTGTTATTTTCACAATTCTAGCTAATTCCATTAACTTGTTTGTATTTTACGTAACTCTTCTGAGTCATCCTTCTCTTAGTAGTCATCATGGCTATTTTACAAATTTCTTGATTATGTAATAAATTGTTGCTAACCCCAACAAATTAACTTATCTTGAAATCCGTGATTAATTAGCTAATAATTTTAACCGCTCCCTCCTTCAAAACTTCGATATCATGTTTACTAACATCCACTAGTTGATTTTTTCCATGACTTTTAACCTGTTAATTTCACCCAGCCACCCCCAACACGACAATACCTAAAGCTGATGGACTAAAATAACCACATGGTTGGTAAAATTTTTATGTAAAAAACTACATATATATATATATATACATCAGCAGTATAGAGCCAGGTGATAATGAGGAACTAATTTCAAAGGAATATAATTCTTTGCTCACTTTGTTGTTGCTTGAAACATTAACAATACATAAGGGCTAAAAGGGAGTCGATACGAAAGAAATGCTATACTACTTACCACTTTACGGTTACGTAATGAAAGAGAGTAACGTATTGCGTTATTAGATGCATCCTTTAGATCATAATCCACCTGTGATGAAGTCTTTCTCATTTCACAGGCTGCTAGTGAATTACTTCGATGTTCTGGTGCCACCTAAAACCATATTATTTTATAAAAACACAAAAATGTCATCTTAGAAATCACCCAGAACAAACAAATATGCATTCTCTTAATGCAATATATAATACAATAAGAGTTAATTAGTAACTTTATTCAGTAAGATTACAATAGTCTTTATTAAAGCATCAACACAACTATCTCCAATAGTTTTAGACACAATTCTGTGATTCACATTTAACGTTAAAGTTAAACTTTAAGCACCACTAACTACCAATCAGCGAATGACCTCGAATGCACCAACCACGTGGAGGCATTTTTGTGTATGCAATACATATATTTATGGGGGAAAAATGCATAAAAACTGTAGGAAAATGTTACAGAAGATAACTTCCTCTCACATGTGATAGAAATAGCTCTCAGTTTTAGGTTGAAGTATCAACAGAGTATAATTCCCTTGTGGGTAAAATTTATTTCGATATTTTCATAGTGTAATACAGTAATATTCACTGAGCAATAAATTCTGCTCGAAACGTCATCAGTACATATTACTGCATAACAATGTGTGATTTTATCAAAAATTGTTATCCATAATGGAGTTATACTCTACCACAGTGCACAAGTTTTATTCTTATATCAATAGAGTAATTAAACCACATTCTATGCATGTAATCATTTAGTTATTCTAACCCTACCAATAACCATGATTTTTCCTGAACCTAACCCTAACGTGAAAATGTCCTTAAACTAACTGTAATCTAACTTGGATCAACCTTAATGTCGCCTTTATTCCGTTAACCTAACTCTAACTTGTCCTTGGCCTAAACCGTAACTGAATCTTTCCCAAACATAAGCTGAAACTTGCCAGATATCCCATTTAGTGGCAAAACACTTCGATGAGCATATTTTATTAATGATGACAACGTTATTTGTTAGGTTTCACTAACTTGCTCAGTGAGCGTTACAAGGCCATTAATGCGGTTGCACTCCATTGATAGTTAGTGGTGCTTAAAGTTTAACTTGGCCAATTAGGCAAAATTACTAATTCACTCAAATCACTAAGAATAATGTTATTTCCAGCGGAACATAAACATAGAGTGATTATTTCTTTTCAAGTTAGATTACGAACTGGAATCAGTGAGAGAATCATTGGAAACTAGGGAGCATTGGGCAGCTGTTTCACCATATTTTGGGACTGTTCACCAGTGACCACTAATACCTCCTCTCAACTAGAGATAAAACCTAGGACCTTTAGGACACAATGCGAGCCCATTGATTATTCAGCTACATCGGTAGAATTGAATGGCCTATGAATTCAAACACCTGCTAATTTGTGATACATAGTGCAACCACCAGCCAATGGTATCAGTGAGTATATAATCCCCTCAATACCCCATTTCGGTGGATTCCACTGGTCATTATTACTGCTCACTAGAGCTCCAAGCAACTTCATTCTGTAGTCAGTCACTATCAAAAATAGAAGGCTTCCTCCCGACCGATAGCTGCTACATTGACGTGGTGATCAGGCTTGCACATCGCAATGACCCAACAAGCTACACTGGCTGGAACCAATGTTCCTGCAGGATAGCGATTAGACTAAAAGCAGTTACCGGTATTGTGTGAGAATCTCTCTTACACTAAGCTGGGAGTCTGAGGGCGAAGTCGTACTGCTGGGGAACAGGGTTGTAACAGCAGTGAGGTGTTTCCCTCAGATGACCAACATGCCAGCTGTGCTGTCTCTCCACTCCGGAGAGCGGGATTGGAAAACGTCGACCCGAACAATTGTACATCCTGACTTACCCTACGGTGGCCCGTAACCGGCGGTAAGTTTACTAATACGGAACCAAACCAAGAAACCAGTTGATACAGGCCTTGTGTGACCGGCCTAAAGCAGTTGTCCCCTGGACTCAGCGGTCACACAACATCAACCCTCTCTCTGTTTCAGGTACCCGAAGAATCAAACAACTTCCACGGTGTGTGCAGCCGGGACCACAGCCTAAATCGAAACATTCATTCTCAATCTCTGATTCCACAGCTAATCCTTGTCTATGTGTGCATGTCATTCTCAGCACTAGCCTCCCCGGAGTATACGACCCATCTGCTGTCTTTAACATCAATCAATTCACTCACAGATGTAGAAGACTCGAAACAACTTCACAAGTAAGCACGACGGAAACTCTAACAAAATTATACACTACAACAAAATACGAAACAACAAGTAAACACAGTGAATCCAAAAACACCAACCGATATGACACACCATGCATATATACAAACAGTACATATAACCTCGCAGACCATGTCTTGATGGGCTACCCTTAAAGAACTGCAGGACTTACAGCAGTAAGCCTACACTCCCCAGGTTGACGATCCAAGTGGAAAGAGGTCCGGACAAAAGCAAAATTAACCAACACACAGATGAGGGATAATACCAAATCAATATATACAACAAGAACATATGTACAAAACAACACACCAAGTACGATGGATTGCGCTTCGATGTACTACCCTTGAAGAATTGTAGGACTTACAGCAGTACGCCTACAACCCTTCTCAGGTTGACGCCCTAAGTTGGGAAATCGCCACAGAGTTCATTTGCTGACCTCCTTCTATCACCTATATACTCAACTCTGAATGGTGACACGCCCATTACATTGTATCGTGGAATGTAGATGACTAACATACGACGTACCTGACCAACCAAACGAAGGCACAGAGTAATTTACACCAAAGATAATAACATTCAAATGGTAACTTGAAACCTGAAATACTTTTATTCGTGCAAGTCAGTTTAACAATTACCCTCTCGTACACAGTTAGCTTATCATCACTAAACTGACCATTCACTTTCGTCCTTTCAAACGGACCGATACTAGCATAATCACAGCATAAGACACATGGGTTCATGGACAGCCCTTTCACGGTGAATGACAACACCAACGACGATTGACTGATACAAGATCATGAACTTAGCGGTGCATCAGAAGCTGTTGTTGTTTGACCTTTAGAAGGTTGTGTAACCGCAGGATTACCACCACTGCTATGTTTTATGATTAGCTCCAGTTTAGCATTAACATCTGTCGATAGGTGGACTACACACGGATCATTTACACTAACGGTCTCATGAGCATCCATACTTTCTACCACCACATCTGCCACTTCACGTTCAAGTTGTAAAGAACCTTTGTTCGACTCCGTAGTAGTAGGCATTCCGCTCGTCTCATCATGATCAGCCAAAAACAAATGTGTACTATCATGATCTTTATCACAAATATTCACTTTACCGCCGTTTATGGTCAACTTCATCATTTTCAACCCCTTTAATAACAGCAGTAGATGATTTGGATTCTTCCTCATGAATCCTTAAAGGGGCAAAGTTAAACTTTAAGCACCAGTAACAACCAATCAGCAAACGACCTTGAACGGACCAATCACATGAAAGAGGCGTTTATGATAAGTGGTAATGTATATTCATAGAAAAATGCATAAAATATATATAAGACAATTACAACGGGTATCTTTCACGGACATGGGACAGAAGCATTTCCTAATTCAGCGTGCGACTGCCAATAGAGAAGTCACACCAAATGATAGCCTTTCCACTCGTCGGTATGTACAACTGATCCCGGTTTCACAAGTCGCTTTATAATAGGTACCAGAGTAGTCGCCTTCCTGTCTACTATTGTTTCGACAAACCCTTTTCGGAGGGATGTGTCGTATAAACCTATGACCCAAATGTTGTTCGCTTTCTGATGACAAGGGTTATATTTCTTCTTCACCAACACTGCCTCATCCAGATGGACTACTACATCGTCCCCACCTAACAACGAAGTACTTCTGTACATTTTCCATGAGGCGATGACCCTGCAGTGCTGGTATACCACTGAACTGTTGAGACGAGGCTGTTCTCCGTCTCGGCAGCAGCGGCTCTCACGGGCTGTTTCAGTATCCAGTAGTTACAAATGTACAAAATCTAGGTTAGGGAGAGACGCGACCTAGCAAAAAAGTTCCTAAGAAATATTACCCTCTCTAATACTAACTCGCTTCCAGCATATTCCACAGCGATGTACAAAACCATCAGTTGACCTAGTATAGCTTTTTAGAGTCACTACACCACCACACGAACAACTTTTCTCCTTTCCAAGCAAGCCTCAGTCCAGGTAATAATAATAGACACTAACCTCCTCAAATTGCAAACGTAAACTTGTAATGGCACGCAGTGAAATGAATCAAGCGCTATGCAGCATTGAACTACGTTCGTGAATCTCATTGGATAAATCGACGTCGTTCGCTGATTGGTAGTTACTGGTGCTTAAAGTTTAACTTGGCCACTTTAACTTTCTTCTTCTGCACAAACTGCGGTGTCGTCTGTAACACGCTATTCAACAATGGCTTATCAGATGCAACTACAGGCTTCTTCACCGCACCCACCATCCTCGTCATGGGGTCTAAAGGTACTGTTACAATTAACGGAAATCGCCGGTTCGTTTACTATCCTCAAAAGTGGATGCAGATCTGTTGAACCGCTACCTCCTTTGTCTGTTGCCTTACAGTTCAACCTTGTGTGTCTCACCTTTAAGCAACTAAAACACAACCGCTTCTGTTTGGCCATTCTCAATCTTTCTACAGGAGACATTGCAATGAAACGATTACAATCACTAAGCTGGTACGTGTTACGGCAAATGATACACTCTTCCTTTCTCGTCGTACCTTGTGCATTCACTACAAGTGACTTCTTTATATTTACTGATTTCTTAGGTTCTAGTGTTGGATGCGAAATGCTGGCAAAATTACCCGTCGCTTGATTGACACTGTCCTTTACCTGTCTGTCTGTCTGTCTGTCTGTCTGTTTTCGACATAGAACTTTGCACATGTGTGCGGCAGTTCAAGTCGCCACAATCCATGTAGCACGCAAAGCAAGAGAAGGAAGTAGAAGAAACGCAAAATATAGACAGTAAACAGAGGTGTGAGACAAAGGAATAGTAATAACGGAGAACAAAACAGTTTAACTGGAAATGATAAGTCACAAGGAGTGG